GGGAAGAAATGGAGGCCTCACGTGACCTGACATCAAACTACATGGCAAAGTGACGGTTGTTTTAGCAGTGACTATACCGGCGCGAAGACAGACGCATTGGGTAATGGAAGGGAACCGAGAGCCCCGAAGCTCATCCACACACGCCCACGGGTGATCTCCAGCAAGGAAGACGGAAGCATAAAATGGAGGAAGGAAAGTCTCTTCAACTAAAGGTGTTGGGAAACTGGACAGCCACAGGCAAAAGGATGTACCTGGACAACTCCAACTACATGCACAAAGATAAATTCAAAATGGATGAAAGACCTGGAGATGAGACTTGAAACCATAAAACACCCCCCAAAATAGGCAATACAGCCCATAGTATCAGCGTCAGGCAGATCTTTGGGAACCCAACCTCACGGGCAAGAGACAGGAAAGCAAAAATAAATAGATAGGACCACATTAAATTAAAAACTTCGCACAGGGCCTCCCCTGGTGGCGCAGCGGTTGAGCGCTGGACTGCGAGGCTGCCCGCAGCCTCTGCAGCGCCGGTTCGATCCCCGGCTGCCGGGCAAGAGTCCCACATGGCGCGCAGACCTCTCCTGCCACCCGCTGCTCCCCTCAGCAGTGTCCTTCGGTCCTTCTGCCTGCTCTGCTCCCCGCTCTGGCTCTGGTGAATTCTCTCACCCTCCCGCGCTTCTGACTGTACCCAGTGCTTGTATAAATAAATAAATAAATCTTTAAAAAAAATAAACTTAAAAAAATAAAATAAAACTTCTGCACAGCTGAAGAAAAGACCAAGAGAACAAAAGGAAGGTATCTCTATATCATACAACCCATAAGGAGTGAGCATCCAGGATCTGTGGAGAACTCACACAGCTCGACAACAAAGGCCCACCCACCAAAGACCTCCGAGTGCTCGGCAGGCGCATAAGGACATGGCCCTCGTCACTTATGGGTAAGGAAACACAAATCAAAAGCACAATAAGGTGTCCTCTCGGGCCTCCCCTGGTGGCGCAGCGGTTGAGCCCTGGGCTGCGAAGCTGCCCGCAGCCTCTGCAGCGCCGGTTCAATCCCCGGCCACCGGCGAGGGCCCCATATGGCACGACAGACCTCTCCTGCCGCCCGCTGCTCCCCTCAGCAGTGTACTTCATCACTCTGCCTGTTCTGCTCCCCGCTCTGGCTCTGGTGAATCCTCTCACCCTCCCGCGCTTCTGACTGTACCTGGTGCTTGTATAAATAAATAAATAAATCTTAAAAAAAAAAAAGTGTCCCCTCATGCCCATGACAGTGGCTCACATCAAAAAGACTAGTAGCCACAAGTGCTGGTGAAGACGTGGAGGGGGGACTGTCCGTGAGCGGTTGGGAGTGCCAGTTGGTGTAGCTCGTGACCTGACAGCCCTGCTCCCGGGGGGCCAGTGAAGATGAGGTCACCAACAGGAGGAGTTTCACGCACTCCTGTGTCTATGGCAGCGCTACTCAGGGCCCCAGGGCTGGTGCTGAGGGGCAGGAGGAGGCGGAAGCACTGCTGGGCAGGGAGGCCTCGCGTCACCCCAGCTGTGAGCCTGGATGCAGCCGGCCTGAGCTCCCCGTGGGGCGGGTTGTGCTGCAGGGTCCACGCTGGGCAGGCGGGGGCTGCTGCCGGCTTGCCCCCGAGGCAGGGCTCCAGGGGCAGTGCTGAGGCAACTGATGTCTCCCAGGAAGGTCCAGCCTGCAGGACCCCAGGGCCCGAAACCTGACTCACCCAGGGTGGGGTGCAGCCCGGCTCCCACACCACAGACCAGGGGAGGAACAGCTGCCCCAGGCCACCTCCTGGGGGCTCAGTGGAAACGTCCAGTGACTCGTCCTCTGAGTAACTCCTGCTTGATCTTATTTGACCTCTTTATCTTTATTTTAGAGAAGCAGCAGTCTGAAGGCCGTGCCATCGCTCTCTGGGTGACGAGACCAGCCACAGCGGGCTGGGTCTTTAGCTGTGGGGGGTTCAAGCAAGTGGCCGCAACTCCCGCTCTCCACCCTGCGGTCAGGGTGGGCGGCACCCCGCTGCTGCCTGGGCTGAGCGGGGGACAGGCGAGCTGATGCCCTGAAGGGGTGTTTCCTCCCCACCCCTGCTCTTCCCAGACCCCCACCCCTCCGCCATCCTCCGCCAGCATCCCCTCCACCACCACCTCCACCCCCACCAGCTCCCCCCGCCCCGCACTGTCCCACTGTCAGCGCCTTGGCGGCCACCAGCCCCACGGCAGGCGCCTCTGACGCCGCCGGCCGCATTCAGGAAACGGTGAAGACGGAGCGGTTGGTTCATACGTGGAAGTGGTTCAGACCCGGTTCCTGATTTGAGTGTCTCTCTATGCGGGGGGGGGAGCTTATTAACAAAGCCCCAGCCCCGCTGTCAGGGCGCGGGCCTGGGACTGTGCATTTACATGAGCACGACTGGTTCCGCGCAGGCGTTCCCTGGGCCCACGCGGCGAGACCCGTGGCACGCCCCCGGCCAGGCGGGGGAGGCCCAGACCCAGCCCGCACAGGCACAGCCTGACGCTCGGTCTCCTCGCCGCCAGCCGCTCCTCTGGCTCCTGGAGGCCCTGCCCGCCTGCTGCGCCCGCTGGCCCGCGCCAAGGACAGGTGAAGACCAGGGGCGGACACGGAGGCGAACGACAGCCAGGAAATGACTTGCCTGAGCGACACGCCAGCAGCGAAAGTGCTGCGTGGGGAGGGCGGGAGGCCGGATGTGGGGTGCAGCTGCGGAGACCGTCACCGGGCGCAGCCTGGAGGGGACGAGGTGCCGGCGAGGCGCCTCGCGAGACGCGGCCCAGGGCAGAGCCGCACAAAGGCCCTGAGCCTGGCGGCGCCGGAGGGATGGCGAGGTGGGTCACGGGAGGAGGGTCACGGCCAGGAGGGTCACGGGAGGAGGGTCACGGCGAGGAGGGTCACGCGAGGAGGGTCACGGCCAGGAGGGTCACGGCCAGGAGGGTCACGGGAGGAGGGTCACGGCCAGGAGGGTCACGGCCAGGAGGGTCACGCGAGGAGGGTCACGGCGAGGAGGGTCACGCGAGGAGGGTCACGGCCAGGAGGGTCACGGCCAGGAGGGTCACGCGAGGAGGGTCACGGGAGGAGGGTCACGGCCAGGAGGGTCACGGGAGGAGGGTCACGGCGAGGAGGGTCACGGCGAGGAGGGAGGCCTTTCTGGAAAGCCGCTGCCGGCTGTGTGTGTTCTGTATCCTGCCCCCCACGCAGTGGCGCCGGCTCCGCGAGGCCTCGAGTCTGGTCTTCTCCCTGCGCGGCGCCAGCACCACCTGTGAGAAGAGGGACAGCCGGGGCTCCCGGGTCCTCCCGGCCCCCCCATCTCATCTTGCCATTCTTCGCCCCTTCTGGGCTCTCCCAAACGCAGTCACATGCCTGGGGTGCGGCCGGCCCCCACCCCCCGCCTCTGCTTCGGGGGTCTCCTACCCCCCCCAAGGGCTTCCCAGGGAATGCAGGTGCTTTCCAGCTGGTGGTGGTTGGGAGCCAGCCCCCCCACCCCCCAACCCCCGCGGCAGCTTTCGGGGTGTACGCGCCTCCGGGGGAGCAGGCGCAGCAGCGCGGGTAAGGGGGTGTGAGTTTGGGGGGCGACTTCCCGGCGCCGGAGCACCTC